CAACCAAATACCCGCCTACCGTTGAGCGAACGAATCCTAATGCCGTGAGGTCAGATGGTTTTCATGAAGTGAAACCGGCTGCTGAATCAGGTTAATAATACTGTTTCCTCATCAAAAATATACCATTGTCCAACAATCAGGAAATGCGTGTTAGCATGCTGCTTGTTGTCAGCTTTACCGTCATGGCAAAAGTGGAGTCTGAGATTTGTGAAAAGGGCTTATAAACTCATCACGGTGAAAAATGAGGATGTTCTGAATGCATAAAGTAAATGAGGAATAACTTTAAACCACAACAAACTGTTTAAAATGAAATTAGTCTTTTTCACTTTTTCACAACAGTAAAAATCTGGTACAGCTCCTTTATTTTGGGTCTAAACCAGGTCTAAGCTGTGTCCTTGTGTCCTGCAGATATGTGGAGATCTTCGTTAAAGCTGGTCTGGTCTCTGCCTCGGACTTGCTCTTCTTGGACCAGGACTCTCTTCTGAGTTTGGGCGTCACCGCCACCGGACACCGCAAACGGATCCTGCGCCTGATCGGCCACCTGCAGCGCACTTCCTGTCCCCCGCGCACCAATCAGAGCGCCCCCATGTTGGACTCCACGGACCCCAAACGGCCCGGACTCAAACCGGTCCCGAAACCTCGGACCGTCTTCAACCGCCGCCGCACCACGCCCGTCCACTTCTCCCCGTCGTCACATGACCCGCAGCGGCCAATCAGGAGGCTCTCCCCGGAGTCGCGCAGTCTAGACTCTGATAATCTCCCCGGCAACAGCGGCGTGACTCCTTCTTCAGTGACATCGGACTGTGAGAATCCGCCCGGTGACCAATCGACCAATCACAGGAGTCGATCTATGTCAGACGCTAGCTCTTTCGTTCCGCCCGTTCCGCCGCGGATACGACGTAGTTTTAACGCTTTTTCAGCTCCTCCCGTCAGCGAAAACCCACTTCCTGTAACTCCTCCCCCTCGTACGGTTAGTCCTACCGATATTCCAGAATCTAGCGTTAGTCCTACCGGGAATAAAAAGTTCCTAAAGTCCAGACCGAGCCGGAGCAGGTCGCTAACGGACGTTTTGCCGCCGATCCCACCGCGACAGAGTAGAAGTAAGAAGAAGCAGGAGGAGACGCTGGATTCTGATTGGACGGAAGGAGGTGACGCGATGGAGATGGTGTCCAACGAGATCTACTGGGGGTCTACGCTCAGTGGGAGGGGCTACAGTCAGCAGGCCCCGCCCACTCCACCCAGACTGCCCACAGAGAGGAGCCAGGAGAGGAACAGGTAAGGAGCGTTTAGGGACTTTTGTTTTACTTAATTATTTAACATATAAGTTGAATATGTGGATGTGTTTTGTTTTGTGCGATCTTGCAGCAGCAGCACGTTGAGCAACAACTCCTCTTCGTCCACTAGAGGTCAGTGCAGTAACCTGGGGGCGCATGTTTTCAATAATAAATAATAGAAGAACACGACTAACACGACGACGACTTCTGCTGCTAAACTACTATTAAAGGTCTCGTATTACACAAAACTGACTCTTGTGAGCTTTAAGTCGTGTTATAATGTTGTTAACTCCTCAAAAACAAACTTGGAGCTGTGTTTTGTTTCAGTCACACATGTTTGAGTAACACTTTTTGATTGGTTTGTCTACATCTCCAAAGATCAAAATGCTCTGTTCCACCTTGTGATTTCATTTAGTGGTAGTTTTCATTTAACAGCTCCTTTTACCTTTAGTTTAGTAGAGATTGTAAAATTCGACCCATCCATTTTCTTCCTCTTATCCGGGGCCGCGTCGTGGGGGCAGCAGTCTAAGCAGGGACTCCCAGACTTCCTTCACCCCAGACACGTCCTCCAGCTCCTCCAGAGGGACACCGAGGCATTTCCAGGCAAGCCCAGAGACATAGTCCCTCCAGCGTGTCCTGGGTTTTCTCCGAGGCCTCCTCCCGATGGGACATGCCCGAGGGAGGCGCCCACAATGCATCCCGAACAGATGCCCGAGCCTCAGCTGCTTCTCTTGATGCGGAGGAGCAGCGGCTCTACTCCGAGCTCCTCCCGTGTGACTGAGCTCCTCACTCTGTCTCTAAGGGAGACGCCCAGACACCCTGCGGAGGAAACTCAGTTCAAGTGCTTGTATCTACATTAGGGATGGACATTCGATTACATTTTCTTAATCGATCGTCGGGAGAATTAATGATCTATTTTCGATTAATCATTCATGTTTTTATATTAAAATTATCATCATTATCATTACTAAACGCACACACTGAGTGGTACAGTGTCTCCAAGGAGGAGCCAGAGCCCAAACGTGGGACTGTGAGGCACAACTCCAGTGTTTGTGTCAGACTCAGCCTCCTTTCGCTACACACAGAAACCTACATTCGGTTTGTTGATTAAAAATTAACGTGATCGACGAAATTCTTAATGATCAATTATCAATTAGTCGACTGATCATGCCCATCCCTAATCTGCGATCTTGTTCTTTCGGTCATTACCCAAAGCTCATGACCATAGGTGAGGGCAGGAACGTAGACTGACCTCGAGAGTTTTGTCTTTCGGCTCAGCTCCTTCTTCACCACAACAGTCCGATACAGCGACCGCATTAAATTCCAGGTCTGAAATTATTCTGTTGAAGGTCTATTCAGTTTAAAAACACAGTAGAGCACTTCCTGTAACACCGCATGACATCACAAGGTAGAACACAGTGTTTTCCATTTGAGAGAAGAACCCAGCCTAAATCTGCAGGTTTGTGTGATAAACATGTGTGAAAGAAACAAAACACAACTCCAGGTCGGCTTTAAAATAGATCAGAAAATAGTGTAATATGGGCCCTTTAAGACTAAAAGCTGAAGCGTCACCGGGTCTAAATTCTGACTGAACCAGGACTGAACCAGGTCTTTGTGTGTCCAGCGTCCACGGATGACCCGGAGGAGGAGATCAGTCCGTACTGTGAGACCGTGTTCTCCAGGAGGACCCCGCTCCCCGAGGTCAGAGAGAACACTGATGCACACACTCACACTACGGCCACGTTTACATGATGTTTTCTAATTCCGAATTAAAAGGTCTGAATTAAATCGAGTTTACATCGAAAACTCGTTAAATCGTCTTTATTTAATTCCTCTGAGCGTCTGGGGGTGGGGAAAGGTTCTGATTGGACAGAGACACCAACGGATTTACGTCGACCGGAAGAAAACCGGCGGACACAAACACGATCCAAATTTTTCCCGCGGTCGTTCCGATGATAATTGCGCAGCAGCTGGAGAATTCTCTCATCGCGCTTTACGTCTGTCGGCTGAGGAGGAGAAGGGAGGAAAAAGACAAACTGAGTCGACGGCCGCTCTACCTCAGCCCACTCCCGCATCCCGCTCGCAAATCCAAAGAGACGTGGGTGAAAATCCGAAGCGAGAACTGGTGGAGCCTGAACGAGCCAGAATTATTTTTAAAGAAGAATAACCTTTTACACGATCGAGGAATAAATTAATTTGGCTTTAAAATCGGAATAAACCACCCGCTTACTTCGGAATTAAGTTTAATTCTGAATAATCATTTTCATTAGGAAGTAAGTGTTTAAAGTGGAATTAATTTTATTCAGAATTTAATTATTTTTATTCGGAATTAAAGCTCTCATGTAAACGAGGTGAGTGATTCATACTGAGAACTTTGAGATGATCCTGATGTTTGGTTTGAGCAGATGGACCGGAGCAGAGATCACGGAGGCTCTCCTCAGACCGACCAGGAGAGGTGAGACTGAAAACTGGAAAAAAAAAAGACACATTCACTCATTAATTAATCAACTGTCTTAAAAAAAAATCATACATTTTCAGATATTTTTACTTGAAATATTCTAAATGCTCATTTGTATGTAAAATAAAATGGAACATGAACAGTCCTGCCAAATTTGAAACCCGTCCATTGTTGTTCCAGATTCCAGTTGGTGTCAGATTCATTTTCCCAGTAGATTTCTAGAAGATTTCAAATATTAAAATTTGCTAATGTGCTCATTCTGCGTGTGCTCAGTCCTCAGAGTCTGTGGCTGAAGCGTCTCTCTCCGCACGAGTCCCCGCCCCCTCACCTGGACGATGACATCATCTCGCCGTACGCCAGTTACACGTCTCTGAATGACAAGGCCCCGCCCGTCCTCAGCGGCTGGCTCGACAAGCTCTCTCCTCAGGGGTAAGATCACACTCAGCTACTCTGACTGCCATAGAGTGTACTGTATTTTTTGGATTATAAGTTGCTTTGGAGTATAAGTCGTACCAGCCAAAACATGCATAATGAAGAAGAAAAAAACATATACAAGTTGCACTTTTTGGGGGGAATTTATTTTTTAAAATCAGAGACCAGGAACCGATAATTTCATGTCGAAAGTCAAGTTCTAGTAAAAACAATAGAACAGAACAAAAGACTGTTAATGTCACATATGAACAGTTCTTCAGATAAACTATAACATAAACAACAGAACAGAACAAGTTTAACAAACTCTCCATCTCACTCCAAATCACTAAATCCATTCAATTCTTCATCCTCGGTGTCACTTCTGAGCAACTCCACGACCTCCGGAGGTAAACAGAGCGTCCGCTTCTTCTTCTGTGTCGCTGTCGTCAGACTCAGCATCAGTTCCAGTTAGAATTATTCGGGTCTTTCTGAATCCCGACAGGATGGTTTCGGTGTCACTGAAGTTCAGGCTTTGTCCATCCATCCAGTGACTTCAGGAAAGTTTCATGGTGCATCCTCCCGGTGTCATAAGTGTGTCACAACTTTCTTTCTGCTGCTCGATTTCCATTTTCAGCTGCAGATTTCACGATTTGCAGCTTGTCATCTGCAAAATATGTTTTTCTTTTTGAGGGCATTTCAGTTCAGTTCAGTTCAGTTCAGTTTTCTCAGTCGTCTTTATAAGTTTGTTTTAAAGTTTAAATTGTTCAGTGGTGCAGAAGTAACGGTGCGATCGACTGACATGATACAGACAGGACAGAGGCTCTTTCTGCAGGAGACATGCGCAGTAGAGCCAAGTGACAGTGGTACAGGAGGAACAGGAGCAGCAGATACTGACACACAAGACTAGAACCTCTCACCGCTTCAGTGTCAACATTTTTTATATATAAGTCGCAGAAAACACCCAAACCATGAAAAAAGTGCGACTATAGTCGGGAAAAAAAACCAAAATGGTAGATTGAAGTGGACTGAGGAAGTGTGACGTCGCGCCATAGTGACTTTGATTTCAGCCAAATGAAGCTAATCGAAGCCAACCGTTATAGCGCCTATGAGAGGTTGCACTATAATTTCACTAAAACACAGTTTAAGATCATTACATTTAAGATTTTACGAACAACAAAAGCAGGTTTTTAGGAAGAAATTGCATAATGTTCCAAAACTCCTGAAATGTACACAGAAATTATTATTATTATTATTATTACATTAGATTACATTATTACATTATTTAACAACTAAAAATATTTTTAAGAAAATGCATGATTTTGTTGAAACAATTCGTTTAAGTTTAAAAAAAAAAAAAAAAAAGCTTCTTGTTAGACATTTTTGCATAAATAATTCACGTGTCATGTCATCGGTTTGTGACTTCCTGTACTTTTTGTACATATTTTTCTACATTTTTTTTCAAAATTTGCTTCTTGAACAGTGTAAAACTATAATTAATATTTACATTAGATATTATCACACCAAAATAAGTCAAAATTTGAGGTCAGATCTGTGGAGAGGCGACGCCGCTCACAGTCAGAATGTCTGTTTTTCTAGGCATTTTTGAGCTGTAAAACCACCTGGAATTGAGAAAATTTTAAGTAGAGCGCTTTAAAGTCACACTGTGGAACATTCCAGACAAAGAAATAACCGGAAAAGTTACACAATACGCCTTTAAGACCAAAACGACGAGCCTGACAGCAGCAGCAGTTACAGAGAGAGAGAGGTGTAATTAGTCAAAAATAACTCATTCAGAATAATGCAGGTTTTCCTCTGTGTCTCCAGGGGTCAGAGGTCATGGCTCAGTGGCCTTCTTCGCCTCCTTTCCTCGTCTCCTCACTGTGTCTCCTTCACGGCTCTGGCCACCGACTGTCTCCTGTCCTTCTGCTCCTCCTCAGCCGCTCGGTCTGTCTCCTACTTCCTACTTTACTTCATGTCTCCTACCTCCTAGTTTCCTCTATGTGTCTCCTACTTCCTACATTACTCCCTAAGTCTCCTACCTCCAACTTTGCTTCCTATGGCTCCTATTTCCTACTTTACTTCCTATGTCTCCTACTTTCTACTTTACTCCCTATGTCTCCTACCTCCTAGTTTACTCTATGTGTCTCCTACCTCCTAATCTCCTCCCTGTGTCTCCTAACTCCTACTTTACTTCCTATGTCTCCTACCTTCTACTTTACTCCCTATGTCTCCTACCTCCTACTTTACTTCCTTTGTCTCTTACCTCCTACTTTACTTCCTATGTCTCCTACCTCCTATTTTACTCCCTAAGTCTCCTACCTCCTAATCTCCTCCCTGTGTCTCCTACTTCCTACTTTACTCCCTATGTCTCCTACCTCCTACTTTACTTCCTTTGTCTCTTACCTCCTCCTTTACTCCCTATGTCTCCTACCTCCTACTTTACTTCATGTCTTCTGCCTCCTAGTTAACCCTATGTGTCTCCTACCTCCTAATCTCCTCCCTGTGTCTCCTACATCCTCCTTTACTCCCTATGTCTCCTACCTCCCAGTTTACTCTACGTGTCTCCTACCTCCTAATCTCCTCCCTATGTTTCCTACCTCCTACTTTACTTCGTTTTTCTCCAAGCTTCTATTCTTGGTCTCCTACCTCCTTGTCTCCTACATCCTAATACATGTCTCCTACGTCTTACCTGTCTTTTACATCCTCTCCTCCTACACCCTTTTATCTGTCTCCTTGTCACCTACGTCCTTTTACCTATCTCCTACCGTCTTGTGCCCTATGTCCTAATACTTATCTCCTCCGTCCTAGTCCCCTATTTCCTATTATTTTATCTCCTACATCCTTTCCCCCATATCCTATTTCTTGTTCCTACCTCCTAGTCCCCAATGTCGTATTGCCTATCTCCTACTTCCTTGTCTCCTACGTCCTAATAATTATCTCCTCCAAGCGAGTCTCCTACGTCTCCTATGTCCTACTACCTATTTCTTGTCTCCTCCCTCCTAGTCTCCTATGTCCTATTATCTAGCTCCTACCTCCATTCCTTCTGCACCTTATTTCTTTTCTCCTACTTCCTAGTCTCTTACGTCGTATTACCTATCTCGTCTGTCCTACTCTCCTATGTCCTATTACCTGTCTCCTGCCTCCTTTCCTACCTCCTCGTCTCCTATGACATTAATCTGATAGTTGGAGGTTTTATTATAACATCAATCTCTTGTGTTTTCTTTGTGTTACATTGAAAATACTGTTTATTTTTCAGGAACTATGTTTTCCAGAAACGTTTTGTCAAGTTTGACGGACAGAACCTCATGTACTTTGGCCACGAGAAGGTACTACACCTATGGGTACTACTACTACTAC